TGTATAGAATTTTTCATACTTTTATATCATTTATTTGATATTTTAAAAATGATGTACAAGTTTTCTATTAAAGCTTACAATATCTATATATACAAAACAAAATACAGTAATTTAAATACTTGCTAGATTTCATAAACTAAGCACTTGAGTCTATTCCATTTAAACACATTAAACTTAATTAACTTTTATATATATATATATATATATATATTAATATTTACTCTTTTTTAATTTACATGAATATGAATATTATTTGATTATTGATAAGTCACTTTTGGTTTATATCAGTATTCTTTATCAATTAGTTACTCTTAATTATCAATTAGTCACTTTTGGCACATTGCATGGGAAGTAAATTGAAAAATAATAAGATATTGAGTGATTAGTAAACCAATGGTAAGAATAGCTCTCTAAAGTAATTTAAGAATCCTAAAAATTGTCAAACGTTCATCAATTAAGATGAAATTGTCTTTGCTAATAAATTATGTATGCGTGTGAACATCAATTATTTAGGTTTATTGTTAGATATATACAATCATCCCAAGTAACATTAAGTATGCATGTTGTACTCTGTCATTTACTTGGATAAGTGATATAAAGTTAGAATCCAATTCAAATTTATTGGAGTTAGAACACAATTCAGAGTCATATATTATCATAGTTTCATATGAAATTAAGTGTCAATTAATGTGGGAAATATTATATAAATTTATTTTAATTGTATTCATATCATTAATTTTTTTTTTATTGATGAAACTGCTTCATATCTCTATCTTCCAGCTAACCACCAAACACACGGACACTCACGGATCTCTTTCCAGAACTCAGGTACACAAGCTTAATTCACAAATACACTTAGACAGTGTGTTCGTATCAGTGTTCAAGAGAAAAGGTTAGGACGGATTTGCGAGAGTTCATTTCAGCTGATATACAAAGATGAATTTGAGCTTATATGCGGGATATGCACGTTTTCATCATCTTGCTAATACGTTCCGATTTACGGTGATTTTAATTAAAATCTCACCTTCTACTATTTGTAAAATACCGTATAAAAATACAAACGTGAAATACCATGTAAAAATGCAAGCATTTCGATAGTAGAGGTTGGAGATAACCAAGAATGGAGGTTGGTCTACGGTGATTCAAGGTTGATGGCTGCTGCCATGTTAAAGATGAAGATGAAGAGTTGTTGAAGAGAAAGAAGGTGAATAACAAAGCTGATTGAAGAAGGAGTTGAAGAAGAGTTCTATTCGGTTCTAACAGTGTTGTATTTCATTATCATTTTTGAGTATTCGGTTCCGGTAAAAAGAACAAATACAATTGATACGTGTAATCAGTTCCCACAAACTTGTATTCAGTTCCATACACCTCCTTATTCGATTACTTGTATTCGGTTCCATACACCCCCTTATTCGATTCCACTACACCCTTTATTCTATTTCCATGGTGATTTATTCATTTCCATGAGCCTCCACACCTCTCCATGCTTTCCTCCACTTGTTGATATGTGCCATGTAGCCTTCAGCTTTTCTTCATCTCCTTATTTCTATTCTTCAAAAACAACTTTTTACTTTATTTCTTTTTTACTTCCATCTTGTATATTTTTTGCATATATATTTTACTAATAATAATAGTGGAATTTTAAATTAATTTTTATTTTTTCTCTCTTTATAATAATTTTTACAATTTTATATAATATTAACAATTATCATTTATATTACTTTTACTACTAAGGGTATTTTAGTAATCTTTAATTTCTATCAATTAAATCATTTTTTTATTTGTCACATCAATCAAATCATATCCTAATTCTCACAAATTTTACTTTCAAATTCACTCTCACTCACCTCCAAATTCACTCAAATAAATAACAATTAATTCACCCTCAAATATCCTCAAATTCATCCACTCACTCTTCCCCAAATATTTCCTTCAAAGTAAACACAACCTTATAGATAACGAAATACTATGGCATGCATTAAGATCACAAATTAATCCTATAAAAAAATCTTTAATAATAACTAATTCTAGAGATAAAAAATAATTAATAATTATATTAATTCATTTACATATTATTTTATAAATTAAAAATTATTAATATTTAATTTATTTTTTATTTTAAATAAAAATTTATAATTAATTTATGAATTAAAATTTAAATTGTTCTTTATCTATCAAAGTTTTAACCATAAAGAATTAATATCTAAATTTACAACCATTGATCAAGTTTAACAACAAAAACTAATAAATTTAAAACCCTACTTCTAAATATAGCAAATTTTCGACTATCACTCAAGTCTTACACTACCGTAAAATCAAGTTTTGATATTTATTATTTTTTAATTTTAATGTCACGTCTTAGCCAGAGTGATTAAATTGACGTTAAGATTAAAAATAGACATTCAGAAACAACAATCATACGAGAGTTTAATGTCCTTTATATTGTGTTTTCAAGAGAATCAATTTGGTTGATATCGAGTGAATGAATGTGAGAGAATTTGGAAGTGAATTGATTATTATTTTTTAAAAAGGATTTGAATGTGAGTGAGAGTAAATTTGAAAGTAAAGTTTGTAAAAATTAGTATAAAATTTAATAGATGTGACAAATAAAAAAATGATTTATTTAGTAGAAATTAAGATTATCAAAATATTCTTAGTAATAATAATAATATTATTATTGTTATTATTATCATCATCATTATTATTATTGTTATTATTTTATTATTATTATCGTTATTATTATCATTATTATTGTTATTATTATCATTATAAGGCATGTGAGACCAAATACTAACTAAATACAGGTAGTTGTAATTGAATACAGTCCTTGTAGAATCAAACAAAGGCCGATAAATGCCCCTCAAAGTGGAATCGAATTGAGCCTCTGCTATTCCAACAACGTCCTCCTCTTCCACTTCATCTGTAACCTCCATCACAACACCTTCATCTTCAACCTCTGCAATAGACAACCCTTCATCTTCAACCTCTTCAACATTCACATTAACATAGACCACAAAGATCCACTTCAATGGCTAATGAGTATGGATGCATGTATGGTTGCTTCCTCTTCATTGCAAATCTTGGACATTTGGTAATTTTACTCGTAATCATCGTAAATCCGATCTACCTTGGGAGGATTCACTTTTGCTACCATCCTTCAAATCTTCTTGATCACTCGTTTTTAAATCTTTGAAAACGAACGATAAATTTCGCAATTCCTTCCTCATCAATCAGTATACATTCTATCAAAATGAACAAAGCCTTAATGATGAATTTTACAAAATATCAACTTTTAATTGATGTCATTTCAAAATAAAATTGTACAACATTTGATGTATGTTAGTGCACTAACAGATGTTAAATATCTTTTTATTAAATGTTATTATGTAATAATTTAATTATTTAATTATTCCTTTACACAAATAAAAATCCCTTTTAATAATATATCTATATACCATATATAATTATAACATCTATATCTACATCTCCTAAACTCATTCATACAAATATATTATCTTTTCAATATATTATTTTTTTATTCCCGAATTAGAAGAAAAAGATAGGATTACGATGGAGAGAAAATATAAAAAGAATTTTTATTACTATATATATTTTACTTTATTAATATTTAAATAAATTATAAATGTTTATTTTATTATATATTTTTAAAATAAATTATAAATTTTCATTTAATAACTTTTTTCATAATTTTCTCAAAATGTAAATATATTTTCTTTTATTTCAAATTAATAAATTTTATATGTTTTTTAAATTAGTTTCATCTTATTTTATATAATATTTTTAATTATTCGGATGAAATTAAGTATTGATAATAAATATAAAAATATACACATATATATTATAATAATAAAATATAATAAATTATTATTATTATTATTATTGTTATTAATTATAACTTAGGTATATTCAAAACTTTATTTTTCTATTTGTGGATAGTTCTTTTATTATAAATATTTTTTTTTCGTTTAAAAAAGGTTAACTTTAAAAAAATTGTTAAATTGAAAAGGCAATCAATTTTTAAAATATAAAATTGATAAGAATTGATGTAAAATTGCTAAGAATTTGTTTACACTACAATATATTTTTTTATTAATATTACATATTTGTTANCATCTCCTAAACTCATTCATACAAATATATTATCTTTTCAATATATTATTTTTTTATTCCCGAATTAGAAGAAAAAGATAGGATTACGATGGAGAGAAAATATAAAAAGAATTTTTATTACTATATATAATTTACTTTATTAATATTTAAATAAATTATAAATGTTTATTTTATTATATATTTTTAAAATAAATTATAAATTTTCATTTAATAACTTTTTTCATAATTTTCTAAAAATGTAAATATATTTTCTTTTATTTCAAATTAATAAATTTTATATGTTTTTTAAATTAGTTTCATCTTATTTTATATAATATTTTTAATTATTCGGATGAAATTAAGTATTGATAATAAATATAAAAATATACACATATATATTATAATAATAAAATATAATAAATTATTATTATTATTATTATTGTTATTAATTATAACTTAGGTATATTCAAAACTTTATTTTTCTATTTGTGGATAGTTCTTTTATTATAAATATTTTTTTTTCGTTTAAAAAAGGTTAACTTTAAAAAAATTGTTAAATTGAAAAGGCAATCAATTTTTAAAATATAAAATTGATAAGAATTGATGTAAAATTGCTAAGAATTTGTTTACACTACAATATATTTTTTTATTAATATTACATATTTGTTAAACAGCACAAAGAAGGAAAGAAATACAAAGTAACCAACCACGATGAACTATGAAACAAATCTGACAAACATACTCCATTGAACGATAAACAGGGAAAGAATCAAAACTTGGCCAACTTTGTAATAATGGCACATAATATATATATATATATATATATATATATATATATATATGAATTCACTGTACATGTTTCATGTTTTGTAATACCTCGTCACTGATTGTACATGAACACTATGTTTAAACTAAACCCACAACCCCATTGGTTTTTTCTTCTGATTTTTGGACTGTTTTCATATTCAGTTCAATCACTGAGGTTTGAATTGGAATCTGGTCAGACCAAATGCATAACCGAAGACATAAGGAAGAATTCAATGACAGTGGGCAATTACAGTATCATTAATCCCAATGTTCATCAACCCTTGCCTGATTCTCATACTGTCAGTGTTCGGGTATATTTACTGCTTATTTCTCAACACTCGTTTAGGTTTTTATTATACAGTAATTTTTCGTTTGATGTAATGGTTATCAGTTTTTTTTTATCTGGGGTGTACCTTTTCATTTCTATTTCACCAATGTAGTTATTTTCCATTTTCACTCGGAGTCTATAAGTTAATAAAGATTTGAAATTTTTTTATTAAAGTGGTGTAAGTTTCTTATATAAACTGAATTCATATCATTTTATTGACGCTGTTTCTTCCATGAATCTCCTTAAAAGATTCATGGAATTAGTGTGGAATATTGCTTCCGTTGAACTTGTAGTTTTGAAATGAATTCTTGAATACACTTGAAGGATCGAAAATTTGACCCACTTTTCTGAATTGGATCCAACAGAAGAATAAGAGGGTAGGAAGAAAATCAAGAAGTAGAAAATTAAACTTTTGATGCTCATTTTTAAAATTTGTGTGCCTGAATTAATAGTGGTAAATTTGAATGATGGGTTATTTGGTTTATCAGGTGGGTTCACTGGAAGGGAGCAATATTTATCACGAGAGTGATCATGTTCAGTCAGGACAGTTTTCCTTTGTGGCAAGAGAAAATGGTGATCACATAGCATGTTTCTGGGTTGGCCATCAGAAACCCCAGGTAACACTCACAATTGATCTCGATTGGAGAACAGGTGTTGCAGCAAAAGATTGGTCTAATGTTGCAAAGAAAAGCCATGTAGATGTAAGTGGGTGTTTGTATTAGTATTAAGGATGTATATTTGTTAAACACTTTCTTACACAAAACAATAGATACAAAGATGGATGTTAAATAAATTAAGACGAGTAAAAATAATCATATTTATATTTTCTCATACAGCTATTAGATATAACAATAAGAAAGGTAAATGTGAGATTAAAAAAAAGAAAGATTAGTAAAATGTAATTTAAGGATTTGTTTAAAGAAACATATAACTCAAATCCTACTGTTTATCCCCACCCTTCATCCTTGTGTAATGCAAATAGTGTGAATTTTTCAACCCTTCAATTATCATACACTGATTTGTCTCATATTTGCAGGGAATGGTTCGTCAGCTACAGATTTTACAGGAAGTTGCCTCTTCCATTCACGAGGAGACAGTTTATCTTCGAAAACAGTAAGCATGTACATTAGTTTGTACCTGAATTCTTAATTCAAATTTCAAGAGGATTTTAATGCTTCTTTTATTCACCATATTTGCTTTAAGAGAAGAAGAAATGGAACTGCACAACTGGACAACCAACACCAGGATATTGTGGCTGTGCTTGCTTTCATTTTTTGTCTGCATGTCAGTAGCAGGGTTGCAACTATGGCACTTGAAGACCTTCTTTGAGAAAAAGAAAATCATCTGAAATTTTTTCATTTCTTTTATATTGTGCTCATAGCATACCAGGGCATCAGTTTATAGCATATACACATGTGAAGACCTCTAAGTTATGCAATATTGTTCCTTTTATTTTGTTGAAAATAGATAAATTCATAAGGAAGTTATTTTGTTGAGTTTTAAAATACAGCAAAAAAAATTGAATAGGTTATTATAATGTGTGCTTAAACAGTGCATTTCTATTCACAGATGTGTTCAAACTATGCACTTCTTGTTACGATATTTGTGTATCAATTTATTCTTATAAATAGAAGATTGTGAGAGGGATCAATTAAGCCCTCAAGAATTATTTCTTTTCAATTCTATTCACAGATGTGTTCAAACTATGCACTTCTATTCACAGTATAGCACTCTGGTTGAGTGATGGTGTGATCATGAAGGCTCATGGCCTAGAGTGACCTTCATTACACCTGGAAAAGGTGCAGTTCTAAGGTCTGTCCAAGTGACAGTCCCTACTGAGAAAAAGGTGTGAATAATACCACAATATTTATTTATTCTAATTTGGTCTTTAGTCAGCTAGTTGTATTAAAAGTTTATTATGCAAACCATACGTATGCCACGTACAATTCAGGTAATGAACATGTTTATAATGATTATGCAAAAATTTCCCTGGATATAACAAATTAGCATGGCTTTGGTAGTGGTAGCACATAATTTTTAATTTGTAATGTCCATCACTTGATTTTAGTTTGCAGGAGAAATTAATTTCACTTTACCTTTTTTCGTATAAAGTACTTATAAACAAATTTATCAGAAGTGAACTTATGCCCTTAGCCAAATAATTCAGCTAACAATACTCTCACATCTTAAAACATAATGATTTGGTAGCATCTGGATCTCAAAATGCTGTAAAGTTAGCCAATAATTTGGCTACAAATGCAAGAATCACCTCAACGCCCTATAAACACAAATGTCACACGGATTATGGATAACTAATCTAGGATAATTTAGGCGTAGGTGATATCACCATGTTCACATACAGAGATAAAACTGGATTGAGCAGCCTGCCACTTTGTCTCTCTCCTTAGAGGACCTCTTCTCATAGAGAATCAAGCTGACAGAATAGATTGGGACAGGCCCAATATTTGATGACATAGGAGGACAATTCCTAAATAAAACTTCATAACGCAATAAAGAACAACCTAAAACTTGGGAGAAATCCTGGTAGTAGTTGGTATAATTTAATTACACATGACTCGTCAACAATGTCCCAGAAATGAAAACTACCAATAGTTTTCAAAGATAAGAAAAATTTAAACATTAGTTAGAATTGTTATATTTTTCCTTAATAGGTTTTGTACACAACATAACTCGAACAACCGCTATTATCTGCTCACAACAATAGCTGAATGGAACTCAGCCAAGAATTTTAATGAGACAAAAAAGTAGTTGAATGTAAACACCTGCTAAAAGAATCAGCATCACCAGTTATGCCTTATCTGAGACTTAAGTTTAAAACACCGTGTATGACTCCATCCAGGTATTCCAAATTGGCTCTTTGACAACCCGCACAGATTTGGAATGGTAATAGCAGATAATCCTGAATATCTGAAACGAATGCTCTTATAATTCATGAAGCAAACACTCTCCAGTGATGATCTGAAGGCAAATTTTCCTTGATCTTTTCAAGCCGTTTAAGGATCTCTATGAACGAAGGTCTTTTAGTTATGTCAGAAGACCAGCACTCCTCTGTTAAACTAAGAACACACAAGGTCAAATTCCATATGATTACAAATTACAACCCTGAAGCTGTTCTAAGAAATAGTTGAATAACAGATATGAGTATTTGACTAGACTGGAATTCTGACAGCCTAATTGTACAACATTCATAACCTACTACCAAGTGATCTCAAAACGAGAGATTCATTTTTTGCTTGCTCCACTAGACTCTAGGAGTATTAACCAAGGCACCCTAAGTGTAAGCATAGTTGTAAAAAAAATTTTTCTTCCAAACACGACAGAGAAGCAGATAAAAATAAATGTCTCACTAGATGACACTCAGCTGCAGTTTTGGCCCTCAACGGTGACTACGATGCTTCAAAATGCCGCTCAGCGGTAAAAGTTGCGTTGAACGGTGACTGCGACTCTTTTTTTGTGCACTTTTACTTCCTTTCCTGAGTCCAGCTCCTTACTAGTTCATCTTCTTTCATCTAATTCATCTTAATTCCTGCCAAAACAAGGAAAACCAAGCATAAAACCCATCCAACTCTCTTATTTCAAAACTTAAGCAAAAACATGATTCAATCTAGTTTTCTAAGGTCTTAAAGGTTTGTTTTAATATCAAAATTTAGTATAAAATAACGGTTTTCAAACCGTTATCACAACCCCAAACTTAGAACTTTGCTTGTCCCTCAAGCAAACAAGATGTAACTCGATCTTCCACTAATCAATATAATGGTTCAACATATTCAAAAACTCTTTCAACACAAGTAATTAGTCAAATCAGCTTATCAAAAACAATTCAGTCAAGATGCACACATGCTTTGATTCAATCAAGCTCATTGTGGTGTTCACATAATCACATAATATCCAACAAATGTTATTCTCATGAATGATCACTTAACTAAGCTGAGATGTATTCATGTGCTCATGGAATTATTCCTCACTAGATAAAGTGTTTCACTCAATCACACAAGTGTATATAGAGGTCACTCATTCACTCCACTATCACAATGTCACCTGAATCAACTTGCCTTCATTTACACAATTAAAACACAATCCTCACGCAAGCCATTAATCACAATGAGTTTCTATTGTTATAATGTGGCTTGGCTAGAAAAAAATTTGTTTTTCTGGATCCACAAAATCCTTGAGTTAAGAGAATCCATCATTTAAACACAAACCATTTTTCACTTTTTCTTATCTTTCTTTGCATGACTTTTTGATAACAATTAAAAAATGTTTATTTTTCTACTTAAAATTGACGTCTTAAGACAACCTTTTATGACTTAGAACTAGCTTCGAATCATGCTTTTGTTTATGTTTTTGAAATACGAGAGTTGAATGGGTTTTAATCTTGGTTTTTCCTTGTTTTTCGCACGTTTCAAGATGATTGGATGAAGAAGTGAAGTAGGACTAAGTTGAATCATAAAAAGGAGTGAAAATTGCACAAAAATATCCGACGCGAGTACCGCCAGCGGAAATTACCGTGTTCTTGGCGTTCTTGATCTCGTAGTCTCCGTTGAGGGGCAAATGCAGCTGAGCGTCAATCTAAAGTGTCGCGCTTAGCGCTGAGGGGTATTTACCACTTAGCGCCATTTTTATGGGCTTGGGCTTACTTTTCTATAATTTTTAAGGTCTTAGTCGACCTAGGTTAGTCATCTTTAGCTGGAACGAAGCAAAAACACACTTTTTCACCCCTTAGAGGAGGATTTTGGATTCTTAAGCTCCACTCTTCAAATTCTAGGGTTTTATGTTTCATTCTTTCATTGTTTTTCATCTAGTTTCACCACGAATATGGTGAACTAAACCTATATTGTTGTTGGGGAATCAATGTAATCCTTTGAAACTCTCATGTATTGAATTTATTCTTTATAATATATGCTTTCTTTCATTAATTGTTAAGGTTTTTCCTCCTTGCTCAATGCATCTTTGTTTTAACTCATTCTATTGCATGAATTATTGATTTTTGTCGATTCTGGACACATACGGGGAAATCTAGATTTGGGATCTCTCCCAACAGTAGTATAAACCATAGACATAGGAATATGATGGTTGGTTGCCTTTAAGCTTCTGTGCTCTGTAATGCATGAATAATTGCTAGGGAGACAAGATATTATAAACTAGTGATTAGGATTAGGCTTTCTTTGTCGAGACATCGGGTTTAAAGTAAATTAGAAAGTGACATTAACATTATTGAAGAAAGATGAATTCTTGAATACATGAGAGTGGATAGGATGAAATTGATAAACCCCAACAACATAATCATTCATATATTTCAAATCAACGTGTTTTGGCTTCTCTTTTCCATTGATCAATCATGCATTCATATTTATTTTTCATATTGCATTTAAATCTCAAGATTGGTTTTACAAGTCTTAGATAATCAACAAATCACATAACTGTCTAGGCCGTGAGTCTTTTGGGAAAACGATACTTGGTCTTACCAGTTTTATTACTTGATAAGATTCGATTACACTTGCCGAGGGTTAACACTTTTCTTTTTCTTTCTTTTCTTTCCTTTTTATTTTGCTTTTCACGTGCTTAGCTCAATGCTTGTTATATTACCTTTTTAGACTTCCCAACAACCCCAAATTTGAACCTTTATCAATACCACAAGATATTCTCAGCTCAACTCAAGGTAAAGATTTTACAAAGGGTTTTCACATCATATTCAAGGCTAAAGGTTGAAAGGATAGAACACATTGTGCTCTCTTTTATTGGGCTAAAATCATGCATTTGGCTAATAAAGGGTTACCAACAAATGGCCTTGATCATTTGACACTACAATCAGTGATTCAATCATAAAACCTAGGCAAATCATTCCATGCTTTCAATGTAATCACACTCAATCAATCACAAAAACTTCTGAGTCCAAAACACACATATAGGCGCATTCAACATCGTCCACATACACATCCTGCTTAGCATCATAATCACAATCACAACATCATGCATCTGTTCACATAGCTTGTGAACCACCACCTGTATATCAGCATATAGTGTACAATCTCAACATCAATCAACATCCAAGCATCATAAGCAACATCATAGCAGATAAGTTTCACACTTGTTTACCATAAGAGTATTGGTAAATCTTGAAGAAATTTGTTTTGATGATGCACAGAAGTTTTAGTTGAAGACGCATTAGAATTAAGTTAAAAGCATTTGTAGAATTAATGTATTTAGAATTCTTTGTAACCTTGTAAACTTGCATTTTTTACTTCATAATCGATTATGGAATGGGGGCCCCCCCCCCCCCCCCTATAATCGATTCTCACAGAGTCATACAGGAATAAATCTATTATCAACATCATATAATTCGATATCCACATTTTGAAAAACCCTGTAAACGGACTTATAATGATATCACTTACAATAATCTATTATTCGTGGCAGTTGAGACTTAAACCTTAGATATTCAT